CTCTACAACAGGGCCTACAAAATTCAGAAAAAACTTCCCGGTTGGACTCATCACTGTACAGTTCACACTGTACAGCTGATGCCTTGACTTTTCAGAATTATGTTTTGTATAGTGGTATTAATTTATATTTTCAGATCTTCCAAGGTGCCAATTATGGAACTCTCTGTGGATTGCTGCCCAAATCAAATTCTGGAAGTGGTCATTCAACTAGATCTGTTACAAAAGGACAACTGATATTACCAACTTAAAAACTGTTACAGCCAGAGGTCTTTCTTCTATGTTTATCTAAAACATGGAATGACATTCCTCAAAACATAAAGTCCATTTCAAAACTACAGCCCTTTGAGCAGAATCTTGTCTGCCATCTGCTGGACACTTTTTGTTGTGCTCATAATTAGATGTCCTATTTTGCAAATGCTGCCTTTTTGAAATTTGGAATGCTTGTTTGTCTTTGTGTCTATGGTGTATAATGATGTGATTGTGGTGCTGTAATTCTGAGTGTTTATGTGCTGCATAACAGGAACCTGCTGTAAAACAGCAATTATGCTGAGTCAGGCTTGATTTTTAATAATCTTTTCCTGTCAAATAAATAAATCAAATCAAATCAAATCAAAGGCAGTGAGTGATACATTTTATGTCAATGAACTGTAGACTTTAAATTTTCAAGAATTGCTTGCTAGTTTCCCAGTTACTATTTCATTCCCATATACAGTATATTGGTATTAGTGTGGTTATTACTTAAATAAACTTTACAAATTTAAACTATTACAGCTGTAGACAAAAATGTGTCTAAAGATAATTATTAAACTGGTTAATTTTTGCTTTGTCTCATTTTAAGCATATTTAAGATTTTAATGAGCAGTGAGTTGGTCTGATGTCAAGATATTTTTATTTATACAGATATTAAGATGCAGATTTTTTTGTAAGGGATGTAAACTAATTTAAAAAGAGAATATTTAAAACAACAAGAGCATAATCACAGTATCTTCACTGTCTGCTATTATTAAAGCCCCCTTTACCAACAGTAGATGTTGCACATTTAATCTCTGTTTTCTAAATGAGAGGCTGCCTCAGCTGAGGGTCTTAAAACCTTGATGTTGCCTCTCACCTGGGTTTCTTTGTTCTCCTGCCAGCTTTATGGTTACATGGAAAGCGAGCCACTCACCCTGCAGCTGTTCATCGGGACCGCAGACGATCGCCTCCTGCGACCACATGCCTTCTACCAGGTCCACCGGATCACTGGCAAAACCGTCTCTACTGCCAGCCACGAAGTCATGCAATCCAACACCAAAATCCTGGAGATCCCTCTGCTGCCTGAAAATAACATGAGGGCAATGTGAGTGCTCTGAGACACTCACATTTTGAGCTTTTACCAGTTTATTATTTTTTTCAGAGTTTTTCAAGTAAACCACTTTAACACCTTAACAGTCTGCACAAAAATGCCTAAAATGCCTGGAAAAGCCTACCCAAATTAAATTAGATGCAGTCCTTCAATTCTTTGGAGTACATACAAAGGCTTGGTCTCTTTGTAGTAGTAACATGCTTACCTTTTAACCTCAGTCAAATGTATTAAACTACAGCTATTATTTAGTTACTAAAGTGGGAACACATACAAATGAAGCACTATTTTTTTTTCTTGCCGGAAGTTTTTTAAAGTGGCAGTATCATGTATTTTCCAGACACATATTTCTGTTCCAAAACCACAGTCAAATTACTATGTTACCTTCAGTTATTATGAAAATAACTCCTAGCTAATCACTTTGTTCAAAATTCAAATATTTTAAAATCCACATCCACGCGAAGCCAAAACCAAGTAAGATTTTTGCTGTCTTAAAACATCTCTAAAATTAATATTAGTTTATAAAAAATATGATAGTAAAAAACACTAATACTGCTGTCATTTCACAACGGCAACTTCTGGAATATTTTGACATCCCTGCTGGAAGCACCAAAATCTGTACTGGAAGTGCTACAGCTAATTGCTGTTGCTACTGCTGTTTGTTCTTACAAATAACCAAATAACTCTGTAAATGTGCTCTGAAACTGGGTTGTACAATTTTAAAGAACCTGCAATATCTTTCTGTCTCTTCACAATTCCTTTGTGTTACATCGCAAAACTTTTATGTTTCCACACAAACATTTGCATTCCCTCACAATATTGTTTTGCATTTGCACCCAAACGTTTATTGTTTTGTATGAATTGTATTAAATCAGACTTTTATTTTGAAATATCAGATTACCAAAACAGGATGTGTCGCTGTGCAGGATGTGTACGATGATATTGTGTGGCTGCATAGAGTTAAAATATCTGCATATTAGCTACATATAACTCCACACATGGCCGTGATTTGTTCATTCTGAAGCTGAATAAGTAGTAGGCTAGCTCCTGTATAATGGTGAACATGTGTATTTGTGGATAAATCAGCAAGCACAACAGTAATAAATGACTTTTGCGAGGGAACACAAAAAGTATTGCGAGGTAACCCAGTAGTATTGCATGAGAATACAAA